TCCCGAAGCACCCGGCATCACCCTCGTGCACCTCACGTCGCCACGGTGCACCCTGCATCCCATGCAGCGCAACCTGCACTGCTGCAGCGCACCGCGCATCGCCCCGCTGCACCACGCTACCTACAGCAGCGGGTGAATTTAACACCCCAGAGGCTTTGTCACCCCAAAAAGACAGCTTGCAAAGGAAAGGGCGAGCCCCTGCTTTGCACAGCGTGCCGAGCCGGGGCGAACCCCGCCCCCCCGTGCCTTGCAGCAGCACCCCATCTGCACCCCAAAAGCGGGTGCTCGCAGGGGTGCAGGCGGTACCCGACGCGATGCTGTGCCCCTGAGCATGGGACGAGTCCCCGCTCACCCGCAGCTTGTGCTCCTTCCTGTTGACGATGACGGCTGTGATCTGCTGGTCCATGAAGATGAGGATGGTGACGAGGAGGGCGGGCAGGGCACTCGCCAGGTAAACCCACCACGGGTTCTTCCCGAAGGGAAACACGAACCACCCTCGGTCCACACGGGTGGGCTGCGGGGGGGGAAGAGAAGGGGTTTGGACACCGCGGCCGAGCCTGGGACCGGGTCAGAGAGGGGGAAAAACCCAAGCGCTGACATTTCGGCAAACCCCACATCCCCCCCTGAACCCCATTTCCTCTGAGCATCATCCTATCCCATATCCACCCCTGAATCCCACCACCACGCATCCGTACCCAAACCACCCCTGGCATCCACGTGCCTCAACCCCAAATTTTCCCCGGCTGCTCATCGGCAATCCCCAGGTCACCGACAGCGATACCCTGGATGGGGGGAAGAGAAATTTTTGGCAACGCTTCTGGAAAGGGATTTTATTGCTTTTTTTTTTTACCTTAAAATCAGTAGGCACTTGGAGCTTTGGGGTGTTGAGTCCAAAAAGCACATCCAGCCCCACAAACATTAGTATGGACATAAAGATAGAGAAATCGCTAATAAGTTTACGCAGCTGCCGGGAGCGAGAAAAGAGAAAAGGGGAAAAAAACACAACAAAAAAAGGAAGGGAAAAAAAGTCACAGAATTAGAATATTCCCCCAGAAAAGACAAAGTAGCTTTTAAGAAGGTGCCCGGACACCGCAGGAGCAGCGATTTTCCCTGAAAACCGGCGAGGAGCTGGAAAGAGAGCGCGGGTGGAGAGGTGAGGGGGTCCCCCCCAGTGCAGCCAAACCTTGATGATACTGGGGATATGGAGCTTAGGGGTGTCCAGTCCAAAACAGGCATCCACTCCGCAGAAGAGCAGGATGGAGAAGACATTGGAAAAATCAGCAATGAAAGCCCTGACCTGAAGGCAAGACAGGGAAACGGGGGCGGAAAGGGTAATTAATGGGGTGGAGAGGTTAATTAATGGGATGGAGAGGTTTGCTCCCGCTTCAGCATCCTTCCCCGGGGCTTTCCAGCTCCGCTCACCCATGGGTAACCTGGGTGTAACCCACAAAATGCAGATTTTTTTTTTTCCCCTTTGCATCGCGGGGTGATGGGTTATTCAGTATGCAAGAGCCAGATCAGCGGCTATAAGCTCGGGGAGGATTCTCCTAATTGCTACCAACACCTCCTAGAAACACAGATTTATTTTCCTGGAGCTCTTTGCATCCGGCAAAGAGACCGACAGCTCCCGTTTTCCCTCCCTTTTGGAAGAGAGGAGGGTAAAACCCAGAGCTTTCCTTACCTTGGTGGGGAAATAGCGGCTGAATTTGAATTTTTTCAGGGTCAAGGTCATGGAGTAGGTCCCGAAGAAGAGGATGAAGGACATAAGGGCCAGGTCGGGCACGAATTTACAGGATTTCCCCACTAAGCTGCCGCCGTATTTGAGACACTCCTTCTTACTCAGCTGAGTCCAGTCCAGAGCTGTTAGGTTAATAGCATTGTACTGGGGAGAAACCCCCCCAAAAAAGCAAAATTAGCATTTTAAGCAATTGCAGCATGCAAGGAGAAGGGCATTTCCCGGCCAAAAAAGCAAAATTAGCTATTTTAAGTAATTGCAGCATGCAAGGAAAGGGGCATTTCCTGGCCAAAATAAGCAAAATTAGCATTTTATGCAATTGCAGCATGCAAGGAAAGGAGTATTTCCCAGGGCTGCTGCCGCCGGGAGCCCCATAACCATGGGAAAACTCCGGAGCTGCTGTTAATTTGGGCAAAAAAGTGGGGATTTGGTGCCGCCGAGCCCAACTGTGAACCCAAATCAATGCAAATCTCACGTTTCCCTCGCTCCAAACCGGCGCACGTCGCTCCCCGGATGCAAAAGTCCTCGGGATTTGCCCTCCCTTGTCCCAAATTTCCCATCGGGATGAGCAAACCCGCTTACCAGAGACATGTTAGTGGTGTTTGGTGCCACTGGAGCTGAAGCATCGAACAAGGTCGCGTTGGCTGCGGGAAAGGAGTTTGTTATTGAGGTTTTTGGCTAATAGCGAGGTTTCGGTATTAAAAGCAGACGGGCTTCACCCGGGGAGGCACGGCTGAGCCGTAAAAGCAAACGCGGGGTCGAGCACATCCTCCGAGAGCCGCGCCGGGGATCAGCATCCCGAGGGCGGACCAGGATTTGGGGAGAAACCCCCCCATTTCTAACCCCGCAGCGACTTCTCCCTGATTAATCCCGTGCGCCGGCGGAGAACACGGCTTCTCCTTCGGCAGCTTCTCCCTCGGAGGGGGGAGGTATTTTTAGGAGCTTCCCAGCTCCTAAAATTTTTAGGAGCTTCCCAGGGAAGCCACCGGCAGTGGGGCCGAGCATCCCAACACCTGCGTCTTAAAACCACGGGGGTAGAAGACTGAAAAAGCAGCCTGTTATTTTTGGAGGGGCGGCACCCAATCATGCCCCAATTGCTTTTTTTTGTTTGTTTTTTGGGTGGTTTTTTTTTTTTTTTTAATATTTTAGGGGTGTTTTGGTATCTCACTGCAAAAAAACTATCCTTTCTAGCCCCCGGCACCTTCTCCTCCAGTGCAAAAAGCGGGTCCGCTCGGCTCTTCGGGCGACGCAGCTCCGCGGCTTCAGGAGCACCCACGTTCTTTATGGGTGCCCCTAAGCGGGGTCCGGGACCGCTCTGCCCCCCCTCTTCCCTCCGGTCCATCCTCTTCCTGCGCCAAGCGGGAATTTCGGCTGCCCCGACCTGCCGCCTCCATCCCCGGCACCGAGGATTAATGAAGGAGAAGCGATTGCTGGGTTAGAAGCAGAGACCTGGGGGCTGCCAAAACCGGGCTCCGGGAAACAGTGCTGGCAAACCCAGCATTAAAAACATTTTTTTTTTTTCTTTTGCCTCCATAACCTTTTATTTTTCCAGAAACCGGCCTTATTTGTGATTTCTACAACTTAAAGGGTAGCGTACCACTGGTGGTGTTTTAAGAGAGGACCCCTAAGGTCTCCACATAAACCCTTTTATCAGAGCAGGAAGAAAAGTAAAATACATGGAAAAAAATAACAACAAAACCCCCACGGGGGAAGAGTATCAAATGTTAAAATAATTTTAATATTTAGAAGGCGATACTCACTTGAGATTGAAATCAGCCCAAATTGATGTGTGCAGCAGAGACAAATATGGTACAAATCAGTTATAATAATCAAAAATCAGAACTAATAAAAAAAAAAAGATAGAAAAAAAAGGATGTAGGGGGGAATAAACATAATTTCTCAATATCTAGAGGAATGGAAAATCCAACGTGGACACCGTTGCCTTGGGTGCCCGGGGCAGCGAGGGCGAGGAATGGGGCTGGGTTGCAAAGAGGCTTAAGGTTTTTGGGGTGCAAATGCCTCTCGGCCACCCGGGGTTTGCTCGGGACGCGGGCTTGGAAAAGGGGGAGACCTCCCCAGAGGCTGAAGGCTTCGCCTTCCTCCTGCACTAAGCTGCGGCAGCGGGTGCTGCCGGGCAGATGCCGGCACACGCGGGTGGATGGAGGTGGTCACAGTCCCGTTCGGGATATTTCAGCCCCCCCGGGGATTGCGTCGGGCATCAGGCTTCGCTTTCCTGCGGGTCAAATTTGGGAGGGTTTTAGTTTGGAAAGGATTGTGCCGTCTCCGGGTTCTCCCCACTGCGCGCAGAGCTTCCAAAAGCCAACGGGATCGGGTCACTCGGCGGGTGGTTGATAAACAGAAATCGAGGAAAAATACAAAATTAAACCAAATAAATGTTATTTCCATCACGGCAGGTAAAATCTCTTCTTGCAGTGACAGATGTATTGGGAACACGCTGCGCCACGGGTCTTGGATGCTTTTATTTCTGGGAAGAGCTTCACCATCGCACCTCTCTGCCTCCTCTAGCTGCAGCTGATACTCCCCAAAATTGTTAGCATTTAGACTTTTTAAATAAATTCAGCTCATCTGAGAGCAGGCGGTCGCTGGCATTAGCCCGAAGATCTCTGCTCCCTTCCAGGTGGCTGCGGGAGCATCTGAGCTGCACGATTTGGACCGGGGATCATCAGGTACGTCTATCCAAGAGCAAAACCAGGGGAGCCATCAAAAGACCGTCTGCTCAGAGCCCGATGGCCTCTTCTTTTTGAAAAGGAGTAAGAAAGAGGAGAAAAAACCAGTCCAAGGAGGCTTCCACACCCAACCGGGACATCCCAGGGTGTCCCAGACACTGGAGAGGACAAAACCCCTCTGGTGTATTTTCTGGAGAATAAGTTTCCATCGGCAGTGGGCTGGAATTAATGATCTAAAATTATTTTTTGTTTCCATATTTCCTGTTTATCCATCCAGGTCTGGCTGCTGAGGCTGAGGCCCCGGCTCTCCAGCACCGTTCGCCGTGTCCTGGCAAGCACCGACACGCTCATCCATGGGGGGAACAAGGCTGTACTTCCATCTTGCCCAAAATCACCCTCAGAAGAGGAGGACAAGGTCTCTCCACCCCAGTTGACCGGGTAGCTGCCTCTTTCCATGTCCTTGGCCAATGATCCAGTGGGATTTATCCACGGCAGGACCCCCCCCATCCCCTTCATCTTCCCCATCCGGCACTGAAAAAGATGTGTACTCACCTGGGTCGGGAGCGATGCACTCGCACTTGTACATGGTCACGTAGTCCGGCTTGAAGTCCGAATTGATGGGGTAGTACTTAAAAGCTCCGATCATCTTCTTGATGGCGTCGTAGATGAAGATGAAGCTGATGAGGGTGGAGAAGCCTTCCTCTGTGAAGCGGGTGATGTACTTTATAATGAAGCTGGCGTCGGTGGCCACCAGGATAAGGCACTGTAGGGCAGAGTGCAAGCCGATCCAGAGGCGAAACTCCATGTAGTCGATGCCGTTGCCTCTGAAAGCGGGGACAAGGCGAGAGCAGTCCCATGAAAGCACGCCGTGGGCTGGAGGACAGCTCCCACCCCGGTGCGGATGGGTGCCGGTTCCCCCCGGCATCGCCCAGCACCTACTTGCTAAAGTCAAAGAGCAGCTTCTCGAAGATGAGGATGGGGCCGGTGCTGCTGAGGATGATGAGAGGCTGCCCGGCAAAGAGGCAAAACATGGAGCCTGCCATTGCCGTGCCGAGGAAGCTCTCCATGACGCCCTGGGGATGGATCAAACCCAGCGTTATGGTGATGCTGCGCCATGTTACATTCCCACGGACACCCCGGATGGAGATGGGAATTAAGGACCTCTGCTTGGACCCATATAGGATGGTTGGGACCACGTCCTCTTGCTCCTGGCATTGCCATTGAGACGGGTTTTCCCATCCTGCAGGTATTTCAGGACTGCCAGTCCCACTTGGCAATGAATTTCCACCCCCAGCATTAAAGCTTGGCATAGCACAAGGGGGGTAAAACTCATCCCATCCCATCCTGTCCCATCCCTGCTTGCTCTCCCTGAGCCAACGTGACCACCCTCCTTGGACCCGACCTGGTAGTTGTCCGTAGCGTCCCCAAGCAAGCCCCCAAATGTGATGGCGTTGGTGATGCAGCCCAGGTAGATGAACAAGATGGCAGAGATGGACTGGATATGAAAGCCTTCATAGAAGTCGCTCGGGAACCAGGGCAGTTTCCTCTTGATATCCAAATAGAGGCCACCACAAAACCTGAGGAGACACCACCAATGACCAGATGGACGTGCCTTCCACCAAAATAGATACGGTGCTGCGCAAAAGCCTGTGCCCAAAAGCATTTCACCCCTCCGTGGCCCAGGAGACCACGGGGTGAGCCAGCAGGAGGTGCTGATAGGTGCTGGCACCATTAGAAGTTTTTTGAGTGGTAGGGTGCTGCTCACCTGCCGGTCCACGCGAGCTCTTCCCCGATTTCGTGAACTTCGGGCATCTCCCCATCGTCGCTGCCTCCTCCACCGCCCCCAGCGCTCGCCCCACCGGCCGTGCCGTTCATCTGCCCCACTTCGTTCAGTGAGAAAACCGATTTCCTGCGGGAGAGAGTCACCAGCGTCGGCCACGGCACCTGCCCTACCAAGCCGGTCCTGATGCAGGGACCACGACCAAGGCCATGGTGTAGCTCTCCACCTGCACTAGAGCTTGGGTTTGGGGGCGAATTTGGAAAGATCAAGAGCTGGATTTGCTCAACCCAGGGAGGGTAATGCAGATTTTGCAGAGTGGAAATGGCTCTGAGCTGATCTGGGGGCAAAAACTGCTGAAAAAGCAGCACTTCTGGAAAATTTGCAGAGATTATTTCTAGGGATGAAGGCAAGCAAAGCTGCTGTCCTCCTCCAGCACCTCCAAAACAGGCCACAGGGCTGGGACCAGCCCCACGTCTCCCACCTACCTCTTCTCAGCCGAGGGCACTTTTTTGGGTGGCTCGATCCTAATGTTGGGGTCCCACTCGCCGGGCGGCAGGACAATGACTTCATCCAGAAACTCATCTATGCCGGCAATCAGGTCTTCTCTATCCCGGGCTCTGTAGGCAACGTCGCTGAAGAGCTGGGGGTCAAGAGAGGAGAGGTGTGGGCCCGGGAACGGTGTCCAGCATGCACATATCCCACGTCATTATGGGATTTTAAGCTCGTTCGTTTGGGCGATAGGATGAAAATTGCTTTTTTTTTTTCTCGGCTCTGAGCAAGGGGGTTCCCACTGAGGGCCGGGCGTTGCATCTACTCACATCATCCACCATGAGGGTCGCGATGGCTCTGCCTATCTCGTTGTAGGATTTGGCTTTTCCCGCGGGACCAAGGAGAATAAAGAGGAACCTGGGAAGGGAAAGGCGCCGTGTTGGCAACCTCGGACAACCGGCACCCATGTTGTGAGACCACTCGGTGCTTTGGACTCGAAGGAATGGAGCTCACCTGGTGGGGACGGGCACCTCCGTCACCCCTCCCAGCATCGTCGCCTGAAGGAGCCGCACAAAAGCCACAAAGGGCTTCTCCAGGAACTCCACTTCTCCCACCAGCACGTTGGAGGCCTCCGCATCCTTGGGGATCTTCTTGATGAACTTGTTCTTCAGCTGTTGGAAAGACGAGGGTGGGGAAGGGAGCAGTTGCCGAAATTTGGCTTTCCCCCCTCTTTTCCACACCCTGAACGCAAAAGCTGAAGCCGCAGGCTCAAACCTCTTAATCTCTGATGGTCCCAGGACTCCCAGAGGTGGGGATTCAAGAGCCATATCCAAGAATAAAACAGCAAGAGTTCATAAAGCTGAAGTTCTTCGTTACTCAAAACCATCACTGAGCCCGAGATTAACTTGAAACCACACGCTTGGGGCTCCCTAATACAACGTGCGACCAGGTGGTTTGCAAAAGGTGCTTTGCTGCGCTGGGGTCTACGCAAGGAAAACCCCTGCAGTCCCCCTGCAGAAAATCTGGGCCAGAAAATACGGATCCTGGAGCAAGCCAGCATGCATTTTTGCAAGTCTATTTGCAGCCCTGCAGCCCCGGGCTCCCCGCGACCCGGGGAGCGATAATGCAGAAACACCACTCGGTGCCGTGCACGGGGGATGGTTCTGTAGCTCATTGTCCCCCAATCTCATCCTCGGAACAGGAACAAATAATGGAAGTAGGAAACCTCGTCCATGGATTTATTTCCCCGGTCTCTTCTCCCCTACAGCTCTTTCATTATTAGTCTAAAAGGGTTCAATACCAACCCAGGCAGGGTGTTATTATAATCTATATGCCAGCATGAGGGGAGGCATGTGAGCCGGGCAGCAAGCTCTCCCCTTTCTAATCTTTTAAACCCAAATGGAAAAAAATAATAATAATAAAGCAACTTCTCCAATGCAGCTTGGAATAAGCAAGAGCAGGAGTTAACAGTGACCACTAAGCTTCATGTAACACTTAAAAAGTCCCTTTGTAGTGGGCCTAATAGGGCGATTAAACCTAAATGCTTTGCATATTTTGGGATTAACCCTCCGCACCCCACTGCTGGAGGCTGATATTTGGGGTTCGTTAGCGGGCAGTTGGCTTGCTTTATTGCAGCTCTAATTTAAGAAGGTACCCTGGAAAGCTTCTGCCTCCCTGATACCGTGGCATCCCTGTCCCGCAGCTCCCAGCAACGCATGAATTTCCATCCTTCGCTTCCCCCTAAATCGCGTCACCCCAGGTAAGCCCAGCGAGGACATCCCTGGGGAAAAGCAAGCTGTTATTCCCGTACCGTCCCCCACAAACCCACGTTGCATTTAGTTTTCCCTTAGGTTTATGCTGAAATCACGCACAAATAGAAACAAAGCAAAGCCCATATGATGCATCCACAGTTCCTAGCTAAATAGCCTTGATATCGGGACGGGGATGGGACATCTAGCGAAAGAACGGCACAGAACCCTGCTGATCCATCGCATTGGCAAGCAGAGATCTGCCCACCAACTGCCCGAGCAGCCTGACCTCCTTCCCAGCTCTCCCGTGCAAAGCAAACCAGGGGGGAAAAGCCCCCGACGGGCTCTCAGCTGAGCTTTGCATTAAGAAACCCACGGCCATCACGGCGCAAACGGAGGGAAAAACGAAACCCGCCTCTATTTACAGACCGTTATCTCGAGAGCTGCATTCGCGTTTGCAGACCCAAGTGCTCGGATGGGATTCACCCCCTGCAACCTGCCCTTACCCAGCCAAGCAAAGGCTCTTTTAGGATCCCTGCACTCTTCCAAGCACCTTTCCTTTCCTACCTAAAGATTTTAAGGAATTTTTTTTCTCCGCCCTAAGGATCTCAAGCTACATCAGCACCTTCGCATGCCCCTAATTCTGCCTTCAATTTGCAAGCACAGGTATTATTTCTGGGACAGCTTCCCCATGAGCTAGCAGGGATCAATAGGTGTATTCATTTCCCTAATTAGGAATTGGTGTGGTTATCGACCGAGTGAAGCCACACAAGGCTCACACAGACCTTAACAACCACAGAGCCCCTGCCCCATCGCGGGTCGTGTCGGAGGTGCTCCCCGCAGCACCGTGCTAATGTTTTCGGGGACAATTACCTGGTCGGTGCTCGGCGTGTCCGAGATGTCGTTCATGCTTCGACTCTGCGCGTGACCTGATGGAGATCAGAGAGAAAGTGAGAAAACCGCCCCGTGATGCGCAGCTCAATTTCAGCCCCACGTGCAAGGAGCAAACGTGGTGGGAGGACTTCAGCGCAAAAAAACCCAACATTTATTATTGCTGGGCTTGCAAACCGGGCGCAATAAGATGAAAACCCAAGAATATGAGTTTTTCTGATCTCAGTCACCCTGTGGTTACACAAACCACGTCTCATTTATGGCTGTGGTGGGATCCCCTTGTAATTGCAATCGCCCACTCTCATACTGCAGCTTGATTCCCCCCCCACCCCGCTTCTTTTAGGACTGTTTCCACCTCCCTGCCGCCCTCCCCGGCTTACGCAGGCGGCCGTAGCCCTGGGTGGAGCGGTGGAAGGCAGCGCCGGCGGCCGGGCTCCGGACGGGGCTGCGGGCTGAGGGAAAGGAGCTGTTAGAGGAGATGCAGGTGCCATGGGGAACCGTTGGGTGATGCTGAAGGCAAGAGGCCGGGCTGAAAATCAGCTGCCCGGCACAGATGTGACCCTTCCAGCACTGATACACCAGCAATTTGCTTTTCCCTCCCACTCTCATTTGCACTTTTATCCCACCCATAGTAATTTTCCCCTTAGCAAAGAATAAACCGCCTTACCCCAAGTCTTCCCGCTGCAGAGGCTCCGTGCAAGGAGCCTGCACCACCCCACGCCCCACCAATGCTCTCTTCGAGGCTATAAATGGGTTCAGAAGTGCAATTTCTGTTCCTTAGGAAGACCCAACACTTTATTTGGCTTTTTAATCTCCTAATTCTCCAAAGAAACCTACACTTGAAATTTGCCATGAACTTCACACTTCAAAATATTTACGTTGGCCACCACCAAGTTTCACGTGAACGTTTCTCCCCCCTAAACTGGTGACAAGTCCCATTTTTCATCTCAGATGTTTAAACTGAATTATTTAGCTATAAAGACTTCCCTTTTCCCCCATGCAGTTTCTGTGTTAAGCCCAGCATTTTCTCAGAAAACCTCCTGAATTCCCAAGACCGTGTTTTCCTTGGGAAAGACCATCTGGACCCGTTTTGTTGAGCTGCTCTGCATCTCTCTCAAACACCAGCTGCAACCGCAGCATCTATCCTCTTTTTTTTTTTTATTCTTGTCCTCTTTTTTTTTTTTTTTTTGTTAAACCCACTAAAAATGATGATGAAACTCCCACTGGGCATGACCCTATTTTCAATGTGCCGGCAGTATTTATTCCAATATCATGGAGCTGCTGTTGGCACAAGAAATGCGAGGGACCCCTCTGCTCCTGCCAGTGACCATCTTTTCCTTGGTGTCCCTATTCGCAAACTCAAAGCGATGCCATCATCTCAGCAAGAGACTAGAAACACAAAAGATGCCTCTATTTTTCCTACCTACAGGGACTAACCGCAACATTTCCAAGTCGTGCTCCGTTTTGAAGGCTTCCGGGCAAATGTTAGCTCAAATATCTAGTCCTCCGACATGGGTGATGGCTGCTTTGAAACCTGGGGGCGCTCACGGGGTGGGAATATTGCTTATTGATGGTCTCTTCCATGTGCACTTTGAGCTTGGGTGCTGCTGTTTCTGCCTACCCAGGGAGCAGCCGAAGCCCGGCAAATCCCGGGCTCCACCAAATGACCTCTGTTTAAACCTAAGTAAATAATCTAGCGTGAAAACAAACAAATCCCCTTTTATAATGGCTCAAAAATAGGCAGGTTCAACCGCGGAGCAGACTGGATTTGTCTGTAGGCTGCTCTGCCAGAAAGATCCTTGGCCAAGCGACCGCCAACACCGTTGTCTATCACACAACGCCGTCGCCCATCTCAGCAGACATCTCCTTGACTTCCAGCTCCTGATGACCCCCCCATGCTTAAAGCCACCAGCAGCAGAGCTTTTGGGGTCTTTCTCAATGCAGTAAGTAGTCGGATGCCCCAAATGGTTGGGTTTCCCCCTTTCCTTCTCCTGAGATCTTCCTCCCCCAAGGCTTGCTCACCGAAGACTCAAGGATGCAGCCAGGCACAGGTTGGACCCCAAGGACTCACTTGTGTTGGAGGAGACGGACTTTCCGATGTCGGCCAAGGACCGGTGGATTGGCTTCTTGGTTTGGTGACGGTGCTTCCTGAGGAGCACGTAGCTTATCTTCTCCCGCAGCTCTGGCTTGAGCAGACCGTCTTCGATCTGCTTCTCAATGACATCGTCTGCAATCACCAAACGAGGGAGGTGCATGGGTCACCCCACCGCAAACCTCCCAGAAAGCTCATGACAACAACACTTACTGAACCAAGTTGATGGCTCTCAACTCCTGTCTTTGCTTATTCCCATGCAAGTTGGTTTATATTTGCACGTAGCAAGTAAATGCATTTAAATCTGTTCCCAGAACTTTAGGACATGGGGAAAAAAATCCATCCGAAACCACTGGTACCTGCCAGCTCCTACCTATAATTTGGGGCAAAGAGTAGCCATCTAAGTCCAGGAGCACCGTTCCCGTCTGTAGACACGTCCGCAGCTCAAACAGGCTGTGCAAAGACAACGTGGACACGTGGGGCTTGCTCCACCTCTCCCCGCCTTCCTCCACCTTTTCTTCAAACTTTATCCACCTGAAACGACAGCGGCAGCCATGGGGATGGGCACGGAGTGGAGATGGCGTACGAGAAGAGAATAAAAGAATTGCTTTTCCTGTGACGTTTCCCTTCTGCAGGAGGCTTTGCAAGCCTGAATTAATCCATCCTGCAAAGTTTTTGCTTGTTATTCAGGATGGGAATGGAGAAATCAAGTAACGTTATTAGACAAAGCGCCGCTTGCGTGTTTGCAGAGCGGAGCAAAACCTCTCGGCTCCACCACTGAACTCAACCCTACAGACGTGACCTTCCTCAAATTACTCCTGCGAGATCTGGGAGGTTTTCCCATGGAGCTGACCTTGCCTTAGCCAGGAGCCGTACCCACACAGACCAGCCATGCACACAGGAAAGCAAAAACCCAGGGCACTGCAAATGCCTTTTTAATTCCTTAGCAATTCTCAGACTTCAACCTGGGCGCTTCGTTCCGACGGTGGGAGACGAGAAGGTTTGCAAGCCCTTGGAAATCAGCTCTTCCACCTCCTTGTTTTTCCTTAATTTTACAAACCAAAGACTTCAGAGCAAATTTGGGAATGGTGGCTGATTCCTCCCAGCACCCCAGGAACAGGGCTCAGGCCCCTGGGAGGGCAGGTGGCTCTTGGCAAGACGTCTATTTGGGGAAGAAAGCTGCTTTTCCCTTAGAGGAGGTTTGCAGGCTCCGTGGATTAGCCTTCGCAGGGCTTAACCTTACAACTTTTAACTGGTACAACTGGGATTTGGGCTCCTGCCACCGCAGAGGGCGCAGACGGAAAGGATGTGGGAGGAGAAGGGTTTTTGGAAATAGCTGATGGCTCCCGAACACTGCAGGGGAAGGGTGGGGAGAGCCTGGGATTGTATCAGCTGCGGGGGGGGGTGCATTAAAATGCTGCTGCAAAGAGAAAATGCTGGGTGTCCCTATTAAAAAAGCCCCAAAATATTATCTGGGAGTGCCAGGAATGGTCTGTGCTGGGGATAAAACCCCAGAGCATCCAAAAATATCAAATTTGGCCCTAGTGCCCATCACTCCAAAACACCCCACCCCGATTTCTTTGCAGAAACCCCTTCTCCAGTCCTGCAAACAACGCTGCTTTTATTGAGAGAAAATTCAAGCTTCCCGCCGTAGCACCCGCTAAGCCCCGTCGGCGCTCGCCCAAAGCCGGTTAGGTCGCTTTTCGTTTCTTTTTTGCCCCATTTTCCTGCCGAAAGTGGGTTAGCGCGCACACGGGGTGGCAGCTTGGGGCGGCGTGCGGGACTCGAGGCACGTTTCCAGCGGCACCTTTGCCCCGGGACCGGCATCCCGTGATGCTTTCGCCAAGGCTACAGCAAAACCCCATCTCCCTGCTGCGCTCAGCTTCTTTATTTCCATTTATTTCCATTTATTGCGGATTTAGCCACAGGTAGGGCTGCTCCCACTAAGGAGCGGCTCTCCTGCAGCTAAAGAAGCTGAACTGCTCCTCGCCAGAGAGCGGAAATCCGGGACTTAAGAAACCTCCGTCCTCCCAGGGGGAATTTGGAAACCACCATCTCAAGCCCTCCCTGATGAAAATCCCAATGCAAGCGCTGATTTTTTGCCTTCCGAGCTTTTTGGGGAGCGGGGAGGGATGAGTAGATACAGCCCTACGCAAAATCGGGGGCGGGGAAATAAAGGATTTTAGCAACAGCATCCCTGCGCTGCTGCGTTTTGAGCAGGGATGGTGATCAGGAGGATGCTCAAGAGCTTTCCAAATTTTTGATGACGCCAATAACCAGCCCAAGAGATGGAATGGCACCTGCAGGGCCCGATCCTGCTCTCTTCCCCATCCCTCGGGCGAACCTCCGCACCCGGATTCGCAAATCCCGCACGTGCTACTGAAAGGAAAGGGCTCGGGATGCCGTCAGCATCCCTGACTCCCTTCCCAAAGCCCCCCAGAAGACCCCCCACCCCTACGAGCCCTTACACAGCTGAGGCTAGGAAGAGAAAATCCCACCTGGATTTGAGATTTTTCCCTTGGATAAGCTCCTAATTCAATAAAGCGAACGCCACTTGCAACTCCTCTAATACTTTTATTAAAGAGGTAGTGGGTGGGGGTTTATTATTATTGCTTGAGAGGTAGGAGAAATTTAACTCTTGGCCTGGCCAGCAAAAGTCGGGGGGGGGGGAAAGACTTGGGAAAATGTTCTTTGTGTCACTGAATCCCATTTCCCAGGTCTCTGCTCTAATTCTCCAGTTTCCCAGCACGTTACCCTGTTTTTTCACCCCCCAGCCCTTTCTGTAGGGCTTTGCTCTCATGCTGTAACCGGGAACGGGAAAAGCCCCGGTTCTGCGGTCGATCCAACCTGGGGAGACGCAGGAGAAGATGGGAAATCTTCCTCTCTTCCTCCTCCTCGGCAGGCTGCAGCCGCCGTGCAAAGACCCCCAAAACGCCGTGTTTTCTGCATTTCCCTAATTCGTGCACGGCTTTTTTAACCTCATTAAAAATAATGCTCACTCCCTGAACCCCTTTCCACCCAGGGATATTTAGGGGGGGGCGGGATTTTTACCCGGCACTTTTTTCAACCCAAAGCATCTCCCTGACTCCTCACCTGGCCGACTCTTTCCACTCCATCTCCTCGCCGTCGTGCTGCAGCGTGTCCATCTCCGTGAAGACCGTGGGGTTGGGAGGCTCATCGTCTTCCCCCAGGATGTAGCGGAGGCGTTCGGCAGCCGGTGACACTGCCGGGGGGAGGGAAAAAGAGGTTTACCATCGACCGGAGACGAGATGATCCTGCACCAATTCCCCATACGGAAAGCTCCAGGGGAGTAAAGAGGGATCGGTAGGGCTATTTAGGATCCTGGGGTAAAAAAAGGAGGTTTCGAGGAAAACGTTTAAGGTGCGAGACATTGAGGAGCGGGGAAACTCTAAGTAATCCTGTCCCAAAATTCCTGTGCAAAGAGATATGGGATGCTGGCGGAAAGGATGCAGCGGAGGCTGCATAGCAGCCAAGAGGGGAATATATAGGTCCGGGCTGGGAATCGAGGAACGCGGCCACCCCTACGTACAATACAGTCAAATTCCCCTTCCAGGAGCATTATGTGCCCTGTTTCCGTGGGGTATCCCGCATTTTTCCCTACCGCGGAGCCTGTTTTTGCCAGGTTGGAGCTGCCTGCCATCGGCAACCAAATCCTTACAGTCTCCGGCACCGTGTATCGGGATGCACAAGTGCTCGGCACACGCTTTCCCACTGGATCCCCGAGGGGAACGTGTATCATTCGAAGGGAGTAAGACAAATTTACCATTTCTGCGGGAAAAATCCAGCTTCTTGCTGCAAATAACCAGCCAGGCTGGGGAGGGCACCTATTGCCTCCTGCTTCCCGTGGTGTGTTTCGGGAAGGGGAGCGGCAACACGTCACCTGCCTGCAAACCTCCTGACTGATGGGAAAAGGGTTTTTCATCTTTGGTGCATTCCCCGCGGCCACGGGAGGGTGACGGGTGACGGACCTGCCCTCTCCTCTCAAAAAAAAAAAGCCAGGCTGGGTTTTCTCTTAACCCTCTCCATCTTTGCGTGCTTTTCTAGCAAAGCCTCCTAATTTGGGTTGCAGGGCGGAATCAAACACCTGGACGTGGCACGGATGGGACCGCTCCCCGGTTGCCCTGTTATTCAAACAAGAGGTTAAAATCAGCCCTACGCCAGGCTCCGGGGAAATGGTATATTTTTAATAAAATCTTGGGTCTTAGCCCTCTCCTAATACAGCAGGAGTTCATCCAGCTCGGAAAATGTCTTTGTTAGCAGAATCCACCTGTTCTCAAGCCTGGGAATAAGAAAGTCGGGTAACAGGGTACCCAAAAAAGCAGGTAATTAAATTGCCGCGTGCGAGCGGAGGAAAAACCAGAAATATTGGCCTGTCCTCCCACCAAAGCAGACAAAACCCAAGTCGCGGCGGCCGTGAAAGAATAGGATGTCCCTTGCGCTCTAGGCTGAGCCTGCTTAACCACTTAAGCCCTTTAAGCCCCACCACCAGGACTAAAGCCCTGTTGTCAAGTTCTCCTTCCACTTCCATAAGCTTCATTATTATGATTATTAATATTCCTGTTAATTTTAGAGCTGGGCTACATGCCTGGAGGGCCTCAGGCTCTTTAAGCCTAAGTGCTGTTCGCGTAAGAGGGGATGAAATTGGTGCGATACCGGCAACCCCCCCCCTTGGCCTCACACCGTCCGCTTTGCTCTGCAGCCCAAACCTTAAATTTCCTGCAAACCCCCCAAAATTCCCTCCAAATGCAACGAGCCAGATGGTGGCAAAGGGAGTTTGCTGGAAATACCCGCCTTGGGTGGGATCTCTGGATGCATTTGTAAAAAAAGGGGGATTTGCAATTTTTAAGGGGGGGGCGGGTGAGATTAGAGCTTTGCAAATCCTCGACTCGGTGGTTGCTGCCCCCAACTCTGCCCAAATTCCCCCCCTAGTGTGCTTAAGAACGGGTCCCTCCTGGTTCGACCTGCTGGAGGGTCCCCCCCAGCGACTTGTTTCAGGGTGTCGGGGCTGTGCCACACTTTAACCACTGGAAACCACAAAAGATAAAGGAAAGCTTGCACATAAAGAGCTTTTGGGGGCTTTTTTTTTTAGCTTTTTTCCCCATCCTCCCCCAGTTTAAGGAATAAACCCATCTCTCAACACCTAACGTGTGCTTCCCAGCAGCGGCCGCCTCCTCTCCCCGCCGCTCACTGACCCGAACAAAGAGCCGGTTGCTAAACCAACAGCGCCGGGGCTTTGCCGCGCCGCCAAAATTCATGGGGTTTATTCACCTGGAGGACCCTTTCGTGCCTGGGAAAGCACCCAGCCCGGCATCTGGTTACAACCCAGCCCTCGGTGATTTTTTTGTTTTCCTCCTGGAAATTTGATCCAGCACCTAAAATTAATCCCAGGAAGCAGCAGGTATTCGCTTGGGAGGATAGACTGAATAGCGGCGTCTAGGGCTTGGCACCTCCGGGGAACGCGGGAGTAAAACTGCTGCAGCGACGCTGGCCAAAAACCCACAAAGCCACCCCAAAAACCGGCACCTATTTCTTGCAAGACACAGTTCAACGGGTGCCCAGAGCAGATCCGTACCTCCCCGAACCAGCCTTTATGATGGGAAAACACTCAGAGCTGCAACTCCTGCTGTACACCCATCAAACCGCCACCGTGATTTCAGCCACACTGGATCCGAATCGGGCCCACAGCTGCAGAATTAGCTCAGCATTAGCTCGCTGGTGATAATATAGGATAATTTTACGTACCCAGGAGCCTACATTTCTGTGGGTAATCGGACAGGACGGACCAGTCGCACTGATTTATCGCTCCTCTAATTTGAAGCGCACAGAGCCCTTCACACCCCAACTCTGATTCAGCAGTAAAACCTCGCCTGGCGATGCTTTTCCAAACCAAAAATCCCGCTCTGGCTTTAGGTACGATAAAAAAGGTGATAAAATGGGGGACGGGGGAACGCGATGCCGCCCGGGGTTTGCAATCCAGCTGGGCAGTGGGACTTAGCCTTATTTAAGGCTCCGGCACATTAACCATCCACTGTCGTGGTCCTTCTGAATATGCGACAGCCTTTCCCTGGGGTTTCATGGCACAGACGGGTCCCCGTCCTCCTCCCCCCCAAAAAAAGAGGAGACTGGGGTGCACATCCCATGGGATTAGATGCTCCGTTCCTGTTCAAGAAACCCCCTGGTCTGGGAGACTTTTCTCCTTCCAAATACCATTTTTTCTGCTTCCCCACTGCTGGGGAGCAGCGGAAGCTGATACAGTTCCCCCACCCCGCCCCCTTACATTTTTGGGGTGAGCTTTGGAGCTCGGTGCCCTGAGCGAGCGCTCAACCCAACCCCACGCAGGCTCCCAAATTGCTTTTACACGGGAAAAGCAAAGCCGAAAAAAAATGGAGCCTTTCTTCCCCTCCTGCTCCCCCCCACCGCGGAACGCCAAAGAGCGATGGAAATAACCTACCTGGAATCGTTTCCATTTTTTCCCCCATTTCTTCCCGGCTAAACCAAACTTTCGCTGCACGGCACAAAAAAAAAAAAAAACCCAAACCCCCAAACTTCCCCCTTTATCCACTCAGGCTTGTTAAATTCCCAAGGCTTAAGGAGCAGATTATAGAGAATATAAAGCACTTTCCTCTCCCTTCGGCTCTCATGACGGGAAGTTACCAAATCAAACGGGATGCGTGTAGGAGAGGTGAGCGCTTTGGGTGGCAGCGGGATGGAGTGAGCGAGAAAGGGGAGGGAGGAAGGGAGGGAGGGAGAGGCGGGAGGACAGAAATCAAAGGTTTGGGGTTATTTTGCGGAGGGTTTTTGTTTCCCACTCGGAGCGAGGTGGGAAAATCCTCTCCAAGCTCAGGGCAGAGATTTTTTTGGGGGGAAAAAACATCCAAACGAGGGAGATTTTCTCAGGAGAAGCAGGGCTGCTGCAGAGTTGAGACTTTTTGGGGTGTTTTTCCTCCATAAAATGACTTTGCCCCCCCCAAACCGGCCCAGTGTTATATCCTGGTGGCATTTACCTCCTGCGGAAAGGAGGGGACGTGGTCCCGCTTGCGCTGCCCCCGGGGGCATGTGAAGCAGCTGCGAGCAAACCCCGCTGCAAATAAAAAACCTTCTCCCCATGCAAAAAAAAAAACTGGAAAACTTTCCCCTCTGTAAGGAAAAGCAAAACCGAGCCCCTGCCCGCTCTGCTGAGCCGCGACGTGGTCTGCTCGACATAAACCCAAATGCAAATTTCTACTGGGGAGGGGGGGGACAGGTAGGGGGAAAAAAAAACACCAAGAGACCGACAGCTGCTTTGCTGTGCAAGATGTTAATCTTCGCCAAGGAGATTGAACGAGACCAGGCAAAGCCCTGGGCAAAAGCCTGTCGGGAACAAGGTGTGATGCCCGGAGGATGTCTGCACCCCCGGGACCCTGCTGTACCCTGATTTCCTCGTTAGCAACCTCCCGAGGGCAAGGACAACCTCTTTTTAGCCCACCCATCACCTAAGCAGCCTCAAATCCCATTTCACACCCTGTGCCCGGCTCTCAGAGACATCCACAGGGAAAAATAAACCCGGGAAGTGTCAGGAAAAGCAGTGCCAAATGCAAACGCCGGACCAAGTAACATGGCTAGGTGCACAGGGGTGATTTAATCCTGGATTAAATGATGCTGCAAAATCCCTCCTGCTTTTTCGGGAAGCCCGAGGGTGACTCACTGGTCCTGCTGGCATTGTCGTTGCCGCTCTCGTAGCAGCCGTGGCCGCCGTCGTCAGTGTCGGAGCGATCCTGGCGCTCGTAGTGCCGCTCGCTCTCGCTCGTCCTGTCCCGGCTGGAGACAGATCTTCGCCGACGCCGTTTCCTTCGGTAGCCCCGGGGCACCGGCACCCCGATGTAGATGGAGTGGTAATCTAGAGGGGGGGGAGGGGGGGCGGGGGAAAAAGCCAAAAAAAAAAAAAAGCCAGGGAGATATTTACCGCCTTCCCACCAGGCTTAAAACATCCACCGGAGCTTTTCCCATGTCCGTGCATGGGATGTGCCGAGCCGAGCGCTGGGAGATCCGATGCATCAGCCAGCAGGGAAGACCCCACTGCCATCTGGGGCATCCCCCGGGTTTCGCTCACCTTCCTCATCGTCGTATCTCCTCCTCGAGCTGCTGAGCCCCCTCTCGCTCATCCCATCCTCATCCTCCAGCATGGTCCCGCCGCTCGGAGAGAGCTGAGCCGCAGGGAGGAGAAAGGAGAGAGATTTTAAAGGGGGCTGGGCAGGGGAACGGCCTCTTTGCACGCCCGCCGGGTGCTCCCTGCTATGGGAATCCTTCACGCGTGGCCCCGGTAAAATCACAGGGTCCTTCCCGGATGGGGCAAGGACGCACCGGGGAGCCGGGACCTTCCCTGCGGATGCACCGGGGACCCTCCGGCACCTCCTGCAAGCACCCGCCTCTCGCCTCGGCGAGCTCTCAGCCCTGCCTCGCTCTGCGCCAGCCCTGCCCGCGCTCCACCTCCGCTCTCCCCATATTTAAGAAAATCTGGATAAATTTCACCGGGGTTACGTCTCCAGTCTCTTATTTCTGCTGCTCAAAGGAAGGCGTGAGTGAAGCATAAGAGATTTGCCGGTACGATTACGGACACAAGTTCAGTTAACAGGGGTTGCTTGCTGGCAATAAGCACCTGTTTAATTTTCAGGGGGGGACCTGCACAGGTAAAAGGGGTTTTGCAGAAGCAGAGTTTGTTTTCCCCATCTCCTAAGCACAGATTTTTACACCATACACAGGCTGCCGCTTCCACGTATCTTCCTTCAAACCTGCTGTTTTATGCCCCATACGAGTTTCTTCGGATTTTGCCATGGATGCTAATTAATCTCCTAATTATCTGACCTCCAGTGATTGCCTTTCACACTTGACTTGGGTGGGAGAACGGTTACTATTCGTGGCAGCCCGGTCGATGCCTCCCAAAGTCACTTTGAGAGCAGTCAGAGAGCCAGCCTCTCCGCGTCCCCCCGTTCCGGCTGCCTGCACCCATGGCAATATCGTATCCTTATCCATCTATTTTAGTGAAGAAAAATCTCAATTCAAGCCAAATAGATTAAAAATATAAAGCGAAGGGGGTGTGCACCTAAACAGCTGGAAGGGTCCAGGCCTGGCCAGGTCGGCTCTGCTTGGGTTGCCGAATTCCTGACCCATTTTCCCCCAAGGCAAAGACGGATACGGGCTCCAGCCTTAACCCAGTTGCTATTTGAAGCCACCTCTTGATTTAACTGATTTGGGACTTTTTTTTTTGACCACATTAACCCAACACTTTTTGCACAGGTGCAGGAACCAATTTATTTTAGGGGCAAACACTTCTGGATGGACAACCGTGCCCCAAACCTGGGCGTATTAAGGGATAACATCAGCCACAAGCCTTGGCTTCCTGGGAAAAACATTATGGGGCTAATTCTGAGGGTTTTAGGAAGCTGGTGCTGGCAGGAGAAACAGCAAAATACCCACCCAGCTACAGGCATAAATATTTTCGCTCTAAAATGAGCCGGTACCTTCTAACAGATGAAGTATCACAAACCCCCCAAGGGATTTCCCCACGAGCTTCAGCACTAGCTCAGGGTCCCCAGATGATGGATGGGGATACACAACCCTTCAGCTGGGTCAATACTGGGAAGAAATACGATATTTTTGCAATCGAGCTTAGCTGGTGAGAGCTCTACCACAGCTCTGTTGGGCAGCAAAAATAACCCATCTTCTCATAAACCCAGGCTTTGTTAGATCCACTGATAAATGAAAGGTCCTGACTGATTACGGCTGATTTATGAGCGTCATATAGCCTAGGATTTCTTCCTCTGATATTTTACATAGAAAGCTTCTTCCCCCCAAATCCTTGCATACAAACACAAGCATGACGCAGACTAGAATTGTTGGAAAACACGACCGTAAGCACACTAGAAATAAGGGGAGGAAAAGAAGAGCACTGTTACCTTTGCCACTTAAACCCCACTACCCCCACCAGCTCTCAGTTCCACAAAAACAAGTTTAACCGTTAATAAACTCACCTTGACCTCCCCCAAAACGCTCAGAAATCAAAGGACAGGGCCGCAGAGTAAAGTCACGGGCACTGGTGGGTGCGGGAGCCCAGACTGCCTTGAGATAAAGCTGCTCTTGCAACCATCGTATCGACGCCTACTGCCAACCGCTCTGTAGCTCCCAGGTTAAAATGTATTTTGGGCAACGCCGATCGACTTTGGGAGCAGAAAGGCATCACGGGATGCAAACAGACCTCTGGAGAGGATGGGACATTCAAGCCAGCAGAGACCTGGTCTTGCGCAGTGATGGTCTCTAGATGTCAGAGCGCCGGGATGTAGGAAAATTCAAGTTGTCCATCCCCAGTTTGCAGAATCTGCATCTTCTGGGGTTGTTGGGCGGGGGTTTTTTTGCATCAGTTTTGGCTCAATTGCTAGGGATTTGGGAGGGCAACTGCTTTTATTTTTTTGCTCTGTGCAATGTCACGTACATCTGATCTTAAGGAGTGGAAGGGAATTCTTCAGGGAGGCGCAGAGAAGCATCACCATCAGTGAGAAAGCTCCTAAAACCCCTGGGGATGACAAGATCAGCCCCTGGGCCATCTGGTTTGGGGGCGGGGGCGGGGTTTGATGAGGGTTGCACACCGAATTATTTTACAATTTCCACGTTTTGCTTTTAACGTGTTGAACATCCCTAAATTTGATCCCGTGAAAAGCAAGCTCTCAGTCACACGAGCACGCCCACTTTGCTTCCCGAGCTGTCCGCTTCTATTTAACGCCTGGCTTGCTCGCCCCCGCTTAGCCTTTTAACAGGGGTATCAATAAATCCGCATCAAAGCAGCGCCCGGCACTTCGTCATGGCCGGCCTCGTCGTTACGCAAAAAAACAAGGAAATCAGACTTTGTGCTTTAAGGTCACCCGATAACGGGGCTTTTCTCTTGCCTCTGGGGAGATTATTCGATGGCACGATCCGGAGTCTCAGCAGAAGCAAAGCAAAACCTGTTTGATACTTTATCACTGCTCCCATTTTCTTCCCAGCTCCTGTTTTACTAGATTTGCTCTTCCATGTGTGGCAGGGTCAGGACTGGAGCAAGGCAGCAGCGATTTCAAGATGCAAAATTTAGGGTGAATTAGGGAATATTATTGGCATCCCCTTTATTTAGAGTTACGAGGCATGTTTGTTAAGCGGGGAGAAAAGCTTTTGCAAAGTGCACTTACGATTTTCGTGCTCTTGCTTAGATCTACCCTTCCCGTTCTCCAGGCATTTGTCGACCAACTGCCCGTGGGAACAGGGGAGCCGGGTGCCCAAGCTGATGCACGAGTCGACTTCTCCCCATCTCCCATCGCTCACCGCCTGCCAAAAAACAGCGTTAGTCCAGGCGTGAAAACCCGCCTGCATCCGACCCGTTCAAGGCTGCCTGTGCCGGGGTCCAGCATCAGCGCGCTCTGCCCAGCCAGGAAAATGGTATAAAGGTGTTGGTGGCTGCTTGTCCTGTAACAAAAACAATAGAAATGAACTTTCTTTCTCCAAATACGTGGAAATACAAAGAGCAGGTTGAATTTATCAGCTTGTATTTCTTAAGGTTTTGCTAAACTCTTCCTGGAGAGAGGGGGAAGAAGGAAGAAAAGCAAAATCCCCGGAGCTCATGAGCTGCTCGGGTGAAGGCAGCCACCCTGTTATTCCTTAAATGCTCGTGCTCACCCGGTTTCCCTGGGCTGCAGGTTTTACCTTCTCCACTTGCCAAAAAAAAAAAACCCCAAATTTTGGCCATACTGTTTTAAAAAAATTCAATAACCCTGACTGCTCAGCTCACATTTTCAATGTGATTTGTGGAAAAAAAAAGGGTTCAGAAAGTGTTTTTTTCAGGCCCGTGCTGAGGATTGCTTCTGGTTTAGTTAAAAAATAAAGCCTGGAACCAGTCAGAAGAGGGAGACAGAGCCCGGCAGTCACACACCAGCTCTCACCCACCTTTTCCCTGCTTGGTCATCCAAATAAACGAAGCCAGCCTCCGGCTTCCAAAATACCCTTATTAATAAAAAGCGTCACTAATAAACCCAGCGTTTCCTCTGCCAAGCGGTGCTCCGGACACAGTGCTCTTTTGAAAAATAGACTTTTTTTTTTCCTTTGCATTTCGCTTTTGAGATGATTCCTCTTGCTTGATAGATGCAGCAACTACAGCCGCCCCGGGGTACCCGTGGGATTTTGGCACATTTGGAGAGAAAACTGGTCCCTGATCTACGCTCCCTCCTCTGCATTTGACTTATGGCTGCTGGGGGAAGCTTTGCCATCAGTAGGTTATTGCTGAGCCCGCACCAGAGCAGCCCGGGGAGCTTTGCAGAGGGTTTCACTGGGGGTTTTTTTGGATAAAAACACACTCATATTTTTGCAATTCATCTTGCTTGAGGTTTCCCTCCGCGAGCCCGTTTCCCAACGCGGCTCAACTTACCGGTCCAGGGTTGGAGGCAACACACACCGGCTATTTAATTCCTATATCTTGAGTGATGTGGGAGGGAATTGCCGCCTTGGCCACCAAGTTCTTGTGCTAAAAGATAAATATTATAAAAGGTAATTCCTTACCTGGTCATTAGAGGTTGGTCTCCAGCAGAGGGGAGTTACCACTATCCCCCGAGGCAGCACGTTGCCGCAATAAAGCTGTCTTTGTTTTAAAAATTGCTGGGCTCTCCTTTTCCTTGCCTGGGGATAAAAACTG